GGCGGAAGAGTGTGCGCAGCTGATCGTCGAAGAGCTTGACGCCGGCCATGGAGCTTTCGAGGTGCGTATCTGCTGTCACTACGTGAATACCAGTAGAAGTCTGCAATCTTTAGTTTTGGCGTCTTGCGTGCAGTCGCTTCAACAAGAAGACAACTTGGCCAAGACTTCCGCGCACACAGGCTGGTCGCCATCGAGGCCGACGAGCTCTTCCGGCGGCCTGACCATGTCGCGGATCGACCTCTTCCTCCGAACGCACTGGAGAAGAGCTTGGGTGGTTCTGCTCTGGCTCGCCGCCTGCATGGCGCTGTTCGCTTGGAAATTCGTGCAGTACCGCCACCGGCTGGCCTTTGACGTCATGGGGTACTGCTTGTGCACCGCCAAGGGCGCCGCCGAGACGCTCAAGCTCAACATGGCCCTCGTTCTCCTCCCCGTGTGCCGTAACACCATGACGTGGCTTCGCAGAAGTCGTCGGATCAACTCGGTCGTACCTTTCAATGACACCATCAATTTCCACAAGGTATCTCAGTGGTGCCCTTTACATGTTTGTAGTAATTACTATCAACAGAACACGTCTTTTTGTCATATACTCCATAAACTGATATGCAGCATCTCTTCTTCGATCTGATTCCTAAGCAATGAAACAAGTCTTCATCAAGATAAGGAATTAGTGCTGAGATTTCTGACTGCAGTCTCCTCCTTCTAGTATAGCTGGTTGCAGGTGGGATAGTGATCGGCATCATCCTCCATGGCGGCACACACCTCACCTGTGACTTCCCTAGGATTGCCAACGCCGACAGATTGGTCTTCCGGCAAACCATCGCCTACTGCTTCCAGTATCGCCAACCATCCTACGTGCAGATCGTGCTCACGACCGAGGGCGCCACCGGGATCGCCATGGTGGTCCTCATGATCGTTGCGTTCTTGCTCGCGACACGGCCATCGAGAAGGAGCCCGGCGTCGTTGCCGAGGCCGATCGGCCGGTGGGCGGGCTTCAATGCCTTCTGGTACTCGCACCACCTGTTGATCCTGGTCTACGTGCTGCTCGTAATACACTCCATGTTCCTGTTTCTGACACACGATGTGACCGAGAAGACGGTACCTCATCTCTTGCTCTACCCATTGTTGATCTACAGGGCATTCATTCACTTTGATCTCTTGAACATGATAGACATGGATGTATATTGCGATCCCGGTCCTGATCTACGCCGGGGAGCGAATGTTTCGGACGATAAGATCAGAGATCTACAATGTCGAAGTCGTAAAGGTACGCATGTTAGCTGATCTTTCACCCTCTCTCAGGACTTCTCTCAAGCTCCGATTGTTCTTCACAGGCAACAATCTACCCTGGGAAGGTGTTGTCTTTGAAGCTGATGAAGCCTGCGGGATTCACATTTCGCAGTGGCATGCACATATATGTTCAGTGCCCTGAGATTTCCAGATTTGAATGGTATGTAGTTCATTCTCTCTGGATCTAAAAGAATACTCCATGTTAATCTTCTGAAATCATGATTGCAGGCATCCATTTTCTCTTACCTCTGCACCAGGAGATGATCATTTGGGCTTGCACATAAGATCACTTGGAGACTGGAGCTGTCAAATCTACAGCCTTTTCCAAGAGGTACGCAAACCTGACGATGGAATTGTTCGTGCAGGAATGGCAGCAGCAGGAGTTCCAAATCATGACATCCGATCTCTTTGTTGGATATGTAGGCATTGCTCTCCGGTAAGCCGGATCTGCCACACGTATCCATTGATGGCCCCTACGGTGCAGCTTCTCAGGACCACGCAAAGTACAAGATCATCTTGCTCGTCGGGCTCGGCATCGGCGCAACGCCATTCATCAGCATCCTCAAAGACATCGCCAATGGCCTGCGCAGGCCGCCGCCGCCAGAAGACAATGTATGTAAAGGCTGTCATTTCCACTTCCGTCTCTTGTTTCGATCTTGAGTGATGTCTTCGGAGAGTCTTCTCAGGTGGGGGATGCCAATGGTCGAAGGACCGGGAGCGGCCCCGAGAAAGCTTACTTCTACTGGGTCACGAGAGAGCAGGGCTCCTTCGAGTGGTTCAGGGACATCATGAAGGAGGTCTCAGTGTTGAACAAGAAGCAGGTGAAGTGGCAAACCTCCATTTTCAGCTCTGGTTGATTCGACGAACAGGAGGAGGATTCATTCGGGTCGTGCATCGATCTGTGATCATTTGCAGGGGGTGATAGAAATGCACAACTACCTGACGAGTGTGTTCGAGGAAGGGGATAAGAGATCGGCGCTGGTGAGAGCAGTACAAGCCCTCCATTTCATGAAGAGTGGCGTAGACATCATCTCCAAGACTCCGGTGAGTTCCAGTGCTCACTTCCTGGTTTGCTCCTGTCTCACACAGCTAATAGCAAGAGGCCATTGAGCCCAAAGTTTCTTAGCAGAAGGAAACCACACGATCATCACTCGATGAAGATATGCATCCACCTAAACCATAAGTAAAAGGAAATTTTACCTGAGTTTTTGAAGCTATATTATCATCTGAGTAAATGGCTTGATTGCTGTTTTAGGTGAAGACGAAGTTTGCCAGGCCAAATTGGTCCAGGGTCCTCTCTAGATTGGCTGGTAGACATGGAGGAAAGAGGATAGGTAAGGTTCCAGCAGTTCATGCTGTGTCTTGTAATCACCGGTCTAAGCAGGCTCACAAACTGAGAACCACTTGATGATCCAACAGCAATCCAAAACCAAGAACATCAGTAATAGTTTACACTGCAAAAGGCAAAATAAAGCTTTGTATTGTGATGCTGGATTTGAAGCTTGCTTATAGTTTTGGTGTAATCGGGTGCAGGGGTTTTCTACTGTGGACCAGCAGCTCTGGGAAGAGACTTGGAAAGATTGTGTCATGAGATGAGCATCGAGACCTCCACCAGATTTGTGTTCCACAAGGAACATTATTAGTTCTACAAGTTGCACACCAGAGATAAAAGGATGTCATTCTTTTTATTACCTTTTTTTTTTTCTTTTTTTGTTGAGGCACTTTACCTGAATGAATGAATGTTTCAGGTTGAGGATAATAGTCTTCAAGAAAATGAATGATGAATAAACTCTTTTCTAACACCCATGTAAGGGAATAACATTTATGAAAAAATGTGGTAAAAGTGAACATAAAATTAGTCATCATCCTTTAATAGTATTAAAATATTAACAGATTCAACTAGGTTTGATTTGCCCCTATAAGTTTGTTGATATTTGTTTACAAAAGGTTAATCACCCCTTAACCTCGTACTATAAAAAAAAATAGTGTATGTTTATTAGATTAGTTTGTTTCTTTTTTTTTATACATGTTATAAGGGTTTAATTATAAATTACTCTTATAGTTAGCTACATTTAGTATATTGGTCTCTATACTTTAAAAAGTTATATTGACACTTCTATAGTTACGAAAGTGAAATATTTAAATCTATATATCCTAACGATGTTAATTTTACTAACGAAAATATGAAAACAAAAAGTAAAAAGATAATTTTAACTTTTCAGTTAGTGGTGGTGGACGGCAGCGACACCGCTGGTGTTGACATCGCCGCAGTTATTGAGCGGCCCTTTTGTCACTCTATATCTGCGTTAGCGCTTCGTCGTCGCGAAATTGAAGTTTGTTGCCTGTCGAAGTAGGACGTAGAGATGTGTGCCCCTCCCCCACCGACGTTGGCGTCGTGCCCCTCTTTGTTGCCCACCTATTCAACCACCACCACTCGCTCGTGGCCGAGGGCAGGGAGAACGTCGCCACTACCCCCCTCAACCTCTCCATCTTCGCCCACGAGATGCTCATGTGCCCCCCGAGCATCCTCGACGCCCTCATCGTTGCCCTCCGTCGTCGCAATAACCCTTTACAACCTCCCCTACGCCCATCCTTCACCACTTGCGCAAAAAGGAGTGGCACGACGCCTAGATCAACGAGAGCGATGAAATTGAGCGAGTAGAGGGCCAAGTCAAAGAGGACTTTAAGCGCATCCTTGATGGACCTAGTTAGCACACCAAGGGTGCCGAAGAGATCCACGAGCGAGTATACTTCGATGAGAGGCTTTTTTGACCAATGATGGAGCGGTTTACTTCGACAAAGAGGAGACTATAAAGAGTTGCGATGACGTGATGGGCGAGGGAGCGGAGGCGAAGGACAGCGACAAGGGCATCAACGATGCTCGGGGTGCACATGAGTGTCTCGTGGGTGGAGATGGAGAGGTTGCAAAGGGCAACTACGCCGTTCTCCTAGGCCTCGACCACAAATGAGTGGTGGTGGTTGAGGAGGCGAGCGATAAGGAGGGGCACGACATTGGCGTCGACGAAGGGGGGTGTGCATCTCCGAGTCCTGCTTCGACAGGCACTAGACCTCCACGATGGCTTCAGTAATGGACTTCAATTTCGCAACAACGAAACACCAACATAGATACAGAGTGTTGAAAGGACTGCTCAGCAATTGCGTCGACATTGATGCCACCACCGACGTCATGCGTCACTACCAACGTCGTTAAGGTAAATAGACCTAGATATTTTACTTTCATAATTATAGGGATATCAATGATATCGATATAAATTTTGATGATAAATATAACTAATTATCGGAGGTACTCTATAATTAGACCCCTTATGAGACTACATATTGCTACGTGATAACACAACTAAGAACTAAGAACACTATCCGAAAACCTCATCCAACCCTATATCACTTGTTTGAAGGGTGGTACTATCCTGAAACCTCAACCGACCCTAGTTCGACGGTGCCAAGCAGTTAGTATATCGTGTCACATCTTCACCATACGTTGTGAGCTGAAGCCTCCATTTTTTAATGGTTTTGCTTCCCCACAACTATAGCATCAAACTGTAATTACAGGTCAGAGACACCTCCAAACCCAACCAACCAGAGTACCGAGTAGATTGGCATGAACATTATCAGCATTTCAAGAGGGAAATCAGAAATGCTACATCTAAACGATGGATGGATTATTGTCAACGTAATCTTTGCAAGTTGAGGTATACTCGAACATTCAAATTACTAACCATCAAAATTGAAAGTGGAACATGAATAAACATTGTCCAACACAAAAGGAAGCATCTGATCAAGAACAAACAGTCCTGAACTCATACAACGAGTGGTTCACAGCACAAATTATAAATGCCAAAAAAAAAAAGCAATGGCAAATGTCTAAATCAGTCCGCAGATTGATGCAATCTTGTTACCACAATTGCGTGATGCAATGCCACACAAGATGTGCAACTGACTATCTCGACAGGCAGATGCACCAACTTGATGGCTGATCACCCTCGCTTGGCATAGTCCTCAGGTTCATCGTCAGCATCCTTAAAATTGTCTTCCAAGAGATCATCCTGATTGTTGTTACCATAGGAGCCATCTCCACTGAAATTGCTGTTGGATTGGGTGGTGGCATTATCGCTGTAGAAGCCACCACTGCTGCCAAAGTTATTACCAGAGGCACCACTGACATAGCTGCCGCTGCCGCCAGTGCCCCCAGCAGTAGGGTAATTCTCGCCACCACTGCCGCCACCATAACCTCCAAAGCTTCCTCTGACACTTCCATAGCCTCCGGTATTACCTCCATAACCCCCTCCACCACTATAGCCACCACCGCTGCCACCATAGCCACTGCCACCGCCACCATAGCCACCACCACGAAAACCACCGGTCCTATCAGTAGCATAGTTAACTCTTACTATCCTGCCATGAAGATCCTGATGAAGAAAGAATAATTATAGCAACCACATTAAAAAATGGACCACAGCAGTTTGGACTAAGAATGCAATCATAAAGACACCAGACTAGTTTTTTGTACAGCAGTTTCTGCATGCAGTAGATGCAGGCATCCACAGCATTTTCTGCATTAATCTTTTCCAATGTGCTTTTAGCATAATCCAAATACACATCTTTGTCTCCACTAGATTTTCAATAAAATCATTTGTTTTCATCAAATCAAAATATTATTCCATTTAAATTTAAACCTGGATGATTGTGTACCATATCATTTGATATACCTTGCCCAAGAAACTTTTGATTTTTTTGAAGTAATATTACAAAGAATAACATCATCATCTATAGCCTTTTGTATATTATATTGCCACTTGAATGTTTTGGATCCACCAAAAATAAATTTGTTTCATTCCTATACAGTATATAGACACTTAACTTAGTACCAAAGCATGTTATAAGATCTTGTATACATCAATGTGTCAAAGATTAAATGGTGTTTTGAGTGTGTGATCATCCACATGGATGGGCAGCCCAATACAAAAGGATCCCGTCAATACAGGTCTACTGAAGGTGCAAGCAGAGAATTTGTTTCCGTATGCATGGTATCCAACCTATATAGTAATGAGGTCTCCGAGTGGACATCAGCCAGACAAATGGATGACATATATATAATTCTTAAACTATAAATGCTTGTGTGTTTACAAGCAAACTAGTTTCATGTCATGCACTCATGTTCCATCTTACTAATATCATACATACGCAATTAAAATCGATAATTCAACTCGTAAAGAAATTAAACACAGTCTGCAAGTTTTTGGCACTCTTGATCCATGAGAAGTTATTGTTTCTTCATGCTCAAACTGATTTTCCAGAAATGAGGAACCATTAGTACCTTCCCATCCATGCCACTAATGGCAGCAGATGCCTCTTCGCCTGAAGTGAAAGTCACGAAGCCAAAACCTCTAGACCTACCAGTATCACGATCCACGATAACTCTAGCTGCAACGAGATGACCATGTCAGCTCATAACACCAGAAAATTATTGGATCAATATACAAATGAAAAGAACACATACCTTCAACAACTTCACCAAAACCAGTGAATGATTCTCTCAAACTCTGATCATCAGTGCCATAAGATAGCCCTAAAAAAAAAATGTATCACAAAGTGGAAAAACCTGAGGAAAGCTAGACATTGAAAAGTAGTCAACCAATGATCCATACCTCCCACAAAGACTTTTGAGGATGACATGCATCTTATTGCTTGATACAGAGATGGATTGGAAGTTACAGCTTGCTTTAGAAGATTTCCAAGTTTACTGGCAAGAGCCATAGCTAAGATCTAAACCGAAGAAAAAAATAAGTAACAATGTTGAACAAGCTCTAATAAAAATTGAAGAAACTGGAAAAAAATGAAGGCATATTTTGTGTATGAAACAAAGACCCCTCTAAGCTACCTTCAAGCAGATTATATTGTTCTGCTTATGAGGAAGGAAAATCAAAATAGTGACGATTTTAAACCTTATTTTAAGAAAACCACCTTTTGTGACACCAAAACAATAATGTATGTACTAACCAGAGAAACCACCTAAAGAGCAAAGGTCACCAATTATTAAACAATTTGTTTGCAAGTGTCTAATCATGATAATGATGCAAAAGGCAACTTTCTAAGTGGAGCAATACCACAAAGCCACCCTAATCTCGTTGTGTCATCTAAATCAAATGTTCCAAGATTCATCATCAATGATAAAACCCCTTTTCCAAACACTTAAAGAATAAAAAACAACAATTAAAAATGGTGGTCCACTCCTTAAACAAAGCAAAACATGTACACATAGTTCCACTGCCACAACAAAAGCTATTAAAAATATATGTTTCACCACAGCAAGATTATTTAGCCAGCTAAAAAAATAGTACACACAATATTTCTAACTCATCAACTACAGGAAGTGACTTGGAAATCAGTAATAGCCACTCTCCCAACCTAAAATCAGATATCGAAAGGTTTATTAGAAACAAAACAAACACTTAAAAGTCAAAATTCACCAACAACGAGTAAACAAAACCTTATACATTGATACCAATACAAATACAACACCCTCTGGCTGACATAAATAGACAAAAAAGACTACAAGTATAACAAAGGAAGATTGCCCAAAAATAACAATCACGCGCAGTGTTGAACCTCGAACTGCATCGAGATCAGAAAACAAAGAAGGTGAAAATACCATAACAACATCAAACGAAATCCAAAAAGACCAAAGACTAATTGACGAAACAAATCGGTTGACCCATACCGCCAATCACCAAAGCAAGTTATCAACTTCAAATCGAGTACACAAAGAAATCGATCACCAGGAATCTACTCAAACAAATAATGATAATAACTTTCAACAAGGATCGACGATTTTTTTCGAAAAATAGACGACGAAGTAGATCAAAAGGCTGCGCAAATCAAGAGAAACCAAATCAAGAGAAACCGATCATTCGCGTAGCGCAAGCGAAATCGAGGGTAGGGCTTACCGCTACTTTTTGGGGGCTTCGCGACCGCTCCGATTTGTGATACGGTCAAAACCCTACGAGAAGGGGGTTTATGGAATTGTGCCGACTTATATAGGCAAATCGATAGGATCGTGTCCGTTCATTTAACTTCATCGAATGATAGCCGTCGGATGGGTATGCAATACTGAACCCACCTTGAACTCAAATTGCATGATTAAATTGATTTCGACGATTGAAAAAATAATATATATATATATATATATATTAGCTGACCTTCAAACGCAATCGAAGAGACTTCGACGATATGAATACGATTCACGGATATAATCTGAGTTAGTACTCAAAAAATAATGCAAGATATTAGAGACTTGATATCAATAATTGTGCTTGAGATTCTTGATACGGTCCAAATTAGTACCGAGGTGAGATGTAAGAGACTGGATGTCAACAATGGTTTTTCTCAGCAATATTATCTGCCAACTGAGGAAGGACAAAGAATTGCAGCTTGTAGATCAAACCACAAAAGCCAGAGACACTTTGTCATCAAGATGCAACAAGAAATGCATGTACAATTCACATCCATTCATCTGCAATAGGAAGTCATCATCAACTCATCAGATGTCAGAAAGAGAATTCCATCTCCTCCAGGGAGGAAGAGAGGAGAGCAGAAACTACAGCAAGGCTGGTGGAGAAGGATTGACGACGATGTGCCGCAGGGGGTGGGCGACATCACCGCCACCCGCATGCTTGACGAACTCAGCCGGGGTGAGGAAGCTGCCATGGCAGACGCACACTATTCTTACATCTTCTCCCTTCTTATATCTGTAGAGGAGGCCCTCAATTCTTCTTCCATTGGGACCATCTCCCCTGGTGGAGACACAGGGCATGTCTTCCATCATGTTCCTCCCCAGACTTGCGTCAGTGGTTGCATCTGCAACCTTCTTCAGAGGATCTTCCTCTCCTGCAAAAGGATGAGTATTTATTCCAACTTCCGAAATAAGAACTGATTGAATTGTGGAGGTGTCGTGAAATATGTATTATTTCTAAAAACAGGCTGACTAAAACATGATAAACAAGAAAGGAGACATAAAATTCGTCTTCTTTTCCCTGATGAACAGAAGAAAAACATAGAATGTTGGCACGTAAAATTGGAGCACCGACATCAAGTGAAGACTCTGTTTTTGCTTTAGAATATTCTCACCATTCTAAAAATTAAATGAACTAAACAAATGATGATCTTCCAGAAAGTTCATGGTAAAATGTTAATATTTTCTAATCCATTTCCTTCTCCAGAGAAATTGATTCAATGTGTTCCTTCTTACCAATAAGGTTGATACGTACCGACAGAAAAATTACTTATTAGTGAGTGGATATTAGTCTAAGATTGCCTATTATGACATAATTATCCTAAGAGCACTTTTATTGCTAGAAGTGACGCAAATTTATGATCAAATAACAGATATGAGAGTGATTAAACGTTAAAGCTCATCATTACGACTCACAATCTAAACTATCTTTAAATAATGATGAAACGATGGAAAGCGTCGTTTCTATTCCGTGTTCAAAGTATTTTCAGAATATGACATGAAAAATCTACGATGAAAAGATAAAATCTCTCATTACATATTCAAATAATGACATTATGAAATAATGGAACTTGTTGATGATTTTAAGTATCTTCGATGATCTACAATGATACTGAAAATGCAGGATAAAAAGGTGAAACTGACAACGTACGGTTCCAAGTATTTTCAGATAAATTATATGATGAAATCGAACTTATTATTGACGACAAGAAAAACATTCAAACAATTATATGAGAATCTATGACTATCGTGAAAAAGGTGAAACTTGTCATTACAGCTCATGATTTAAAGTATCATCGACAAAAATTATATGATGAAACAGTGGGACTTGTTGTACATGATCTAAAGTGTCTTTGATGACGTCTGAAAATTCCTATTAATTACATGAATATTACAATAGCACTTTTGTCACCGATAATGAAGTATCAGAGGCTGACAAAATAATCGAACTTGTTGTTACTACTCCTTATTTGAAGTATATTCAGCGAATGATACTTGCCGTTACTATCTATTTGAAGTATCTTCAAATGTTGTGTTAGAGAAAAGGAAAATGTCGAACAAACTACAAACACAAATTGTGTGACAATTAAGATATAGTTATGATGGTCATATTTCAAGGCTTAGATAATTATGCTAAATATTTTGAGCTCGAGTTCCAAAAAGAAAGTGATGTTCATGCAACTTTGGATAAGTCCTGCAGAGAATGTAGACATCCTAAAACTTAAATTGTCACACGTACAATGCTCATTTACTTCGATACCTTCGGACCGATACCGAGCAAGAAACCATGAACACAAACTACCGAAACCATTTAGCCAGTGTTGATAGAGAATAGCACTAGCAATACACAATTCAAGCAACAACATAATTGAAACAGTACTGTAGGAAACAACCAAGACATAGTTCTTTGTCCATCAAGAATACATCATACTTCAACCACTAGCAAACTCCAATTATTACTATTCCACCTCAAGAATCGATCATTCTGCCTACTATAAGATAAATAAATTCCTCGATAATAAACATAAGAAAGATCGAGTTTTTTTGTGCACCAACTCATCATCAACAAGATAGATAACAACATGGATTAACCAAGAATCTAAGCACTGACGTAGTACCTCGAGCCGGCGTCTGGCTCTCGACCTCGGACACACTGAAGGAGCTGCTGCCCTGCGATCCAACTGACCCTTGCGCCACTGTGCTGTTAGGCCCCGCTGCCCACGCCGGTGGCCTTGGAGGAATGACTACGTCGAACACCCCACTGAACTGGGTTCCGATCGGAACGCTGAGGCGGCCGTTGACTGACATGGCTGCCGCCAAACTCTTCCCTCCCTCATCTTTCAGAGCACCCGATTTGATCGAACTCCTCTTCTCCAGCCTCTTCCTCTTCGCCTCCAACCTTCTCAAGCCCTGCGATTCCTTCCTCTTCCTCCTCTCTTCCTCTGATTCCGTTGGCAACGAGCTCGCTCTCACGAGGGTTGGCGTCACCGTGAAGAAGTCGTGCTCCCTCGGCAGCGACGAGAAGGACGCGATCGACGACGACCGAACCAGCTTCTTCCCCTCCGGATCCACCCCGAAGCATCCGGCGAGGGAGAGGCCGAGGGAGAGATTTAGCTCGACCTCATCGGACTCCCCGCCCAGCGCCTCCGCTTGCTCACTGGAGAAGTTGTTTCCGGACAATCTATGTAGCAAATCTCTCGGGAAGCTCTCGATAGCCGACGACGGGCGCTCCAGTTCCCCCTCCGCTGCCTCTGCTTCCATCAGCACACCCAAAAGAAACGGCAACGAAAAACTTCGATCAAAAACCGAACTTCTTCTCACAGATTTGATTTTTTATCGATTCATTTCGAACCAGGGAAATGGTTTTGGGTACAAACCAAATATTAGGGGAAATTTGAAGGAAAAATTGTGCCAGACAAACACAGAAGACATGGGACGAGGAGAAAACAGAGGATAGAACACAAAAAGGAGATCTTTGAGCCCCAAATATCTCAAATTCATCGGACAAATTGATGAGAGTGAAGAAAAACGAGACCAGCCGAAGGGGATACGCAATTAGACATCAAAGTAGAGAAGGAATCTGTGAGAGAGAGAGAGAGAGAGAGAGAGAGAGGGAGGGAACTATTCGCTGCTGAGCCGAGGACAATTGTGACGCTCAAAATGCCCCTATCTGAGGGATGGGCGCCGGAGGCGGGAGGACACGCATCCAGCCGGGAGAAGGGGAAGGGCCGCAGGTGGCGAGGGACGAGGCCGCGTCGACGCGAAACAAGCGGCTCGGAGCCGATGAAGTGGCAGCATGTTGTCCGAAGCACACGTCTCGTAACGTCTGGAGCTTCTTGACCATATAGACACGTGTCGGTGCCCCAGCCGACCGCCCACCCTGAAGTCACTATCGTTGTAGCTGTCAGCCGGTCGATGCCGAGTTCGGCCGAATCACCCCTCGAGAGTGTCGGGGTGATGTTACCTCTTCCTGAAAGATGGAACACCGTTGTGGCTCCCACGTTTCAGGAGGCTCACATCACCCCGACAAATGCAGGGTTGGTTCGGCCACGTTGACCTAAAAAGCCACAACTGAGGTCGCCACTGCCGGGATTACGCATCTCCGGAATGCGAGAAAGGCGTGGGATTGGCATTTGAATACGTGCCACTCACGTCTCAAGCCGTGACTTAAGTGGCGTAGAAAGCGTTTCGCTGCCACGTGGGTAAGAAGGAAAAGTGTTTATTGTTTGAAGTAAAAAGAGACTCGATTCTGTCCACACGAGACTTTTAAGTAAGGTTAGCATAGATAAACCAACAATAAGTAATTCAAATTTACTAATCATACTTTATAGAATATTTTATGATAAATACAGAAAAAATAAATTAGCATATATTATGCCTATAAAATATATTGGCATTTTACCTTAAAAAATCTTTACAATTAGATTTTTACTTGATGAGGGTTCTCTAATTGATTTTTATTTGAGGACGTCTTTTTATCATCTTGATGAAAATATCTCACCATCATCATTTGTCTTTGATACACCATTACCCAACACTATCGTCGCCTCCTTAGCGACCTCCCGCTCCTCCAAATTATTGTTAGTATTTTTTTTATTTCTTCTATAACTTTTGACTCCTCTTTTTACCTTTTAACGTTAGTGTCACCATCTTATCCTTTATCAACTATCTTCTTTGTCTTTATCATAATAACCAACTATCTTCTTTGTCTTTATCATAATAACCCTACTTAACCCCTTCTCACGGGCAATAGGGAGCCTTTCCTCCTCGTCACTATCGTGAATGAGAAGGGGTGACAACAGTTATATTAAGAAAAATATAAGGAGGAGAAAGAGAAAGACTATAATGATATTAACAAAAGCAAAAGGATAATTTATGGCAGTAGCAATACGAAAGAAAAAGAGGTCATAAAAGAGATAGCGATAATCTATTATCGATGATTAAGAGTTTGTGTGGGGGCAGAAGAATATTTTATAAAAATAGTAAAAAAATAATACCTTTAATTTAAAACTAATTCCGGAGGTATAATCGGTTAAAAGTCAGACTCTATAATTATTTTTAGGTAAAATAAAATGCAGATCGAAAAGTTCAATTGGGACCAAACATTAAACTGCTAATTTTTTTCATCCAATGGGGAGTAGAATAGAAGACATTATTAGTTCATCAATGGCGATGCAACAGCGGTGGTTGCCCCTTCGAAGCTCCAAAGGCTGTCCCCATCACCCAACCAACAAATATATTTGTTCCTGATCGGCAGAAGGTCACCAAACGAAAGCTATCGGAATCATCACATCACACGTATTCATCGATTTCATGATCCACTCGCACCTTCGTCATGGAAGTAACTCGATCAATCATGTCACAATCGTCATGGTGACGTGAACGTGATAGAATGTGGTCGGTCCGTGCAATAATCGAAGCCATGCAATGGCAAATGCGGATCAGGTCGAGTCCAGTCCGACGGACGAGCAACCGGGCCACACGCTCACCGTACGGCCTTCCGCGTGATGTTGACGCAGCATTGGCCGCCGTCCGATGACTCGTTGGCCGGTCTCTGGAACAAAGGAACGGCCGAAATCGACGGGTGCGTACAAGAAAAATATGCGAAGACGAAGCTCGCGTACCACCGACCTCACGGCCCGGACCCAGAGATCGACCCCCTCAGTGCGTGAGACGCATTCGATGTGGGCTCCCACCTGACCGTCCTCGGTTTGTTTATTAGGATGTCGTTACGTTGTCTACACCTCTCTTACCCGACGGGAACGCTCGTGTACTAAATGGAGAGACAGCACAACGTCAAGTGGGACCCGACCGTGGGTCCATGATTTTACTCGTATATTTATGGGGTAATTTTTAAAAAAATATATATATTTTTTTTGCTAGAGTGTTTTTTTATTTTATTTTATCTCTTATTTTTATAAAGACATGATTGTCTTTATTATTGTTGTATTGGTCGTCATTATTATAATATTATATGTTATTGTTTAAGGCAGGGTCTGCAGTACCGAACTGTATTGCCCGGTACGGGCGGTACGTACCGGTCCGACAGGTTGTCGATACGCGGACCGTCTGTTACCGGTTCGAGTGCACTGTAACAATACATTGTAGTACTGTAGCACTGCTACAGTATTCGGCACACCTAAGTGTACCGCTCGATACATCGGTACGATACGATATTGTGAACCTTGGTTTAAAGTATCACTAAAACACTTTTGTCTTCCTCACAGTCCATTATTTTCATCATTATCTTTGTCTCAAATACCTTCTATTATGTCATCTTCAAAGATGATATTCTCGACCCTTTCTTCTATCTCATAGATTTTAAAATTTTTTATAAATCTTTATTTATTTTTATTTTTTTTCCTAATTCAATGATCATAATATACGATAATTAGCGTGACAAAGACAATGATGGTGACATCGTGATTGTGTCCTTGTATTTAGCCTCATCTCTCATTTGAATACTAGATAATGATAAAAGCCTTACAATAAGAGACGAAGGTGTTCATACAAAAAACTTGTTAGTAGGGTAAACAATTGGTGTATCTTTTATAAAATAAGGGATACTTGGTTGGAATAAAACAAAAGACAACGTTATGTGAGAAAAGTGAAATATTCAGGTTTTTTTTTTTTGGAATTTGCCCTTTATTTATCTCTCGCCACTAGTTTTTTTTTTCTGTCGTCTATAAATAGCGGAAAATTCGGTTCGCTTTCCGCTTTAAATTTCTCCTCTCCTCTCGCTCTCTTTACGAGTTTCTAACAACCACTCGGATTACAGACGGGGGCGGTACGAAACCCTGGACTTAGATCTGTGCTTCTATCGATTGAATCTCTCGTTTCTCTTCGTTTTTGCTGCATTCGTGTCTCGATCTCCTTTGCGATAGCTTCGGAGTCGATGTTCTATAGGTTCGCTGCGCTGTTCGTGACCCCTCCGGGATTGTTCCCGGTTGTTCTGATCTTATCTTCGGATTTGGTGTTCCGTTGAGGCATTTCAACCGGAGCGCGTGTTTTTTGTGCTGAATTTTGGAATTTTGCCTTACCCGAGTGGTGCTTGCTTTATAGGGGATTTGGGATCGTAATGTGGATTTTTCTTTCATATCTTGTTTTCTCTCGTTATTTCTCGATCGACATTGTTTTTAGGAGTCTCTGGTGGGTTGGAGTGACCACTGTTCCAAAATGAATCGAGATCATCGATCGGGTTTACTTGCAGGCTTTGCTGTCGTTAGAACATTTTTGATGTTTCAATATCTGTATACAGCGATGACATCGTTCTGTTTCGTGATCTTTGGGCATAGAATTCCGTTGTATTTTTGATGCATTGTAGGTTTGAATAAGAATTATTGACATGTCTGGACATTAGGGCTTATGGTTGTCGAATACGAATAATAGACGCACTGCTGTTTAAGACGAAATATGAAGTACATCTTGTGGAACATCATCCTGTGGTGGTATTTGTAACATTGAGTATGATCTACTGAAGGAATTGGAGGCAACACTAGGTTAATGCCTGTATACATTGACTTGGAGAGAAGTTGAAATGATGACTTGGTTTTGATCCCTAATAAATTTACCTGGGCGTCATAATTTTCTATCTGATACTTTCTTATATACAATTTGCAAGCAGTAGAGGTTACAGGAGGCCACATAAGAAGAACAATAGATCTAGAAGGTCAACTTTGAGCTGTGACCAGAAATCAATATTGTTATTTGAACAGATTGGCTTGCTCTGTCACTACAACCATGAGGCTCCATTCATTAGAATGAGATACAATCATAATGCTACTTGTTTCCTTATGTAACTATTTTACCACGATCCTCTGAACTTTGATATGCTTATCTGCTTATGCTAGCATGTAGATTACGTGCTATAGAATGATATAATGATTCAATTTAGCTGAATCTTAATTCTGCCTGTGTTGGAGTAGAATCCTCTTAGGAGAAAAAAAGCATTAGTAGATTCTGGATGAGATCACATTGTTGTCTTGATACCTGCTTTTTTAGGCTCAGATTTTGAGCCACCATTTGAGGTTCTCAAAATTCATCGAAGCACACGTGCCACGAACATTTTCAAAGGGCAAAGAAAATGCTGTTCTGCAATATGTTTTTCTATTATCTCTCTAATGTTATATTAATATGTGTATTTGTGGAAGGGGTAAAGAATTTTTCTCTCTGAATAAGGGAAGAAGACCAACAGTTGAAGAAGCTGTTTTCTTCATAAATATTGGATAACAGGTTCAATGATTAAATTTTCTCACAATCAACTCATTCGCGTCTCTTACTCTTGTTAAGATCCCATCCTCCATCGATACTGATTTTTTTCTTTTATTGCTTCATTACTTTTCTGCATTTTTTTCCCCAAAATTTGGTGTTTTCCTTTACTTTCTAACAAAATGTTCTACTATTTGAGCTAAAGAGCCAAATAAGCTTTTTTAGTTCTTTGGATATTAGTGCATGGTTGGTATGTTAAGTGAGCCATGTAATATGTCATGGACTTTGTCTCGGGCTTCACGCTTGGTTTTTAAGAGATATCGACAGTTTTATGCCCTTTGAGCTTTTATCAAGTTTGATGAGCCAGAAGCTTTTACTTGGTGAATCCAAAACACAGCTTTGCAAAACTTCTTATTCCTGTATTTTTTTTAATTTTGAAATTCCCTGAACCTTAAGTAGTTTGATAGGATGGTCTCCTCCTATTAGGTAATTACTTTTCTTGGAGGGTTAGCATGATACCTCCAAAGAGACAAAACAAGAGAAGAGAGTGAAGTTGGAAGATTTATAGGTACGTGAGAAATTTTATCCAAGCAAATGCTTCTGGACTTGCATGCTTAAATTGTTTAGAGGACGAGCTAATCTCGACCCTCAAAGATTTTCTCTAAAAAGGTTTACAACATAAAGTACGAGTCTTAGTAGGATTATCACTGGTTTAAGCTACACTATTATAACAGAGCATAGGTTGTGTGCTTTAAGCTTAATCCAAACTCATTCTTACTAGAGATATTCTCTGGTAATGTGGTTTATGGATCCTTAGTGTTGCCTTTGAGGAAAGGAACAAATGGAGAAAGTGCTAAAAAGTCTTCTATGTTCTTTCCTCAAGAGCAATTGATGGTGGAAATTTAAAAATTGACATCCCAATTGCCAAGAGTGGTACTGGGCTCTTTGTGTGGGCCTTTGGAACTGTCAGCCAGTGTTCATGTTATATATGATGTTATAAATGTAGGCTTTATCAATACATATGCATAATGAAGAGAGCCAATGAAATGGCACATTCACCTACAAACCTCTTTAGTTTTTATTTTAAAAACCAATGTGTGTGGCAATTTTAAACTATTTATCAAATTAGAGATTTTAAGAGCTGCTTTTAACTGCCGAAACCACAAAACAATTTTGAGTACTTGGATCTCTGCAAATCAGGTCCTAGGGTGTCATGATTGCTGAATTAATAATTCTGACCTATTATTTCTGTTCTTTTGTTATGTCTATTCCTCAATTCACTTTTAATTATCAGTACCATTCACACTTGCAGCTTCCCAAAATTTGCAGCTTGTCAAGTCAAGCATGGGTCGTGGAGTAAGCAGTGGAGGTGGTCAGAGTTCTTTGGGCTACCTATTTGGTAGTGGTGAGGCTCCCAAATCTACTGGAGAGACTGCTGCACCAGCTCAGAAATCACCTTCACCACTACCAGTTGACAACAAGAAGCAAATCCCTGCAGGTATTCAAGGGAACCTTGCAAATAACTACCACCGTGCAGATGGGCAGAATTGTGGAAATTTCATCACGGTATAATCTCACTGTCTCTATTTGTCATATTTATCTGCGCTCGAAGTGTATTTGTTCTATTTATCATTTTATATTGCACCTGATATATGTTGGGAGAATATTTAGCTTGCAAATTCATTATTATTTCACCATGAAAAGGCATAATTTTTTTTCTCTGAGTATGGAATTCTTCACTTGCATCTACTTTGGTGACTTTGCTATATAATGATATAGTTGATATTAGCTGGACGGGTATATATGTCAGTACACAGTCATAAACTATACTTTCTGATGTGAACACCAATTCTCATTTTCTCGGTCCCTATTTACTACAGACTTGTGCCTGTTGCTATTAAGCACTTGCAGCCATTTGGTGTGATGAAAGTGGATATCAGTCTTGATCTCGAGTTCTCAGAATTCTTTTAAGTTTTTGGAATCAAGTTCTGCAAGCGTTATCCAGAAGCCTACATCTCCAAACTCAATTTCTAATAAGTTCCTTTATTTGTTAGAGGAGTTGTGTCAATGACCATAAAGTAATTTTTTTTTCTTAATATTGGTTAAAATGGGTTTTCTGGATAATACACAAGTATTTTAGCAAGAAAGAAAAAGAAAGAGAAAGGAAAAAGAAAAGATACATGTTGGGTCATGATTGAAGTTGTTATTTTTCTATACATATTGGGTCATGAATGGACTTGTTATTTTACTACGTAGGTATCTGGTTATTTACCGGAATAGTATTATTTCATCAAAAGAGTATTACTAATAATATTGTGTCAAGCTAGATAAAGTAATAAAAAAAGTTAACCAAAATTTTCTTGATTCATATAGAAAAGTGTACAGATGCAGAATTGCAATTCTGTGGTGTTTCCTTTTGTGAAATTGACTAGCCACTGAGCAGAAGTCTGGGTCAGGAGAGTGAGAGCAACAACGAGTGGAGTTTCCCTGCTTTTTTTTCACTTCTAAGACACTAGTCATGGAACTTTTAGTGTAAGACCATTTTGACTCCTAATGTTCATGAAATTGAACAGCTTCATGCACAAAATCAGCACTATATCCTGAAAACCTTATAGCAACTTATGATGATCTTTTGTCTCTGGTGTTATTTGATCAGATGATGGAGTTGCTTAAATGTTGCATGCTGATCCTAAAACATGAGTTGAAATAAAATGCTGTTAGTCCAAGACATAAATATTCCACTCTCTTGAAGAGTTTTCTATTTGCAGTTGCGGAATAAATGCTAACCTATAGTTGGACTTGCACATTACAATTGAGTGTAGGTGCTATTGTCTCATCCTTCTTCTATAACAAGGAAATTGGCCTTCAGATGCATTCCAAGATTCATATATTGTTTATCGTTTTGACTAGACATTGGAACCTTGGTTCAAACTGTATTGGTTTGATTGAAACAGTAGTTAACCTGACAAGAGTACTTATGTTAGAGCTTACATGCCTAAGTTGCAGCTGGTGATGATTATGTTCTTGAGTTAGGGAGGATCTGAGGTATATTCATGATGATGGTAAAATGGTCAAAGTTTTGATAAGGTTCTTTTGGGAGACAAGGTGTATTCACAGTGAGGTGATCTTGTTTTCCCACCAGACAGGGGTTACCTCTCTTTATTATTATGAACTTGTAAAAGGCAGACAGATGCCCTTTTTTTGCTAAAAAAAGAAAACAACTTTTAGCCATTCAGTTCTCAAGTGCCATTATCCTAATACAACCTAGGTTCACTTTTCTGCTTATTTCCTCATTTTGGCGTCAATTTATTAGGCAATAAAATCCAGGCAACTCTTAGCAAAAACACTTGTGTGTTTGCTTTCTCAATCTACAGGCAGACTTCGTGTCAAACCAGCTTTTCCTGTCTTTGCAAACATAAAGCTACTGCTGGTATGACCAATGTGATGACTATCTACATCTTATCAGCCATAGATGCTTGTGAAAAGTGACGCTTGGTTGGTGTATTCTTGCTGTACCTTCTACTGTTGAGAGCTACTTCTTGTCATTGCCTGTTTTGCAGGATCGACCTTCAACGAAGGTGCAAGCTGCTCCTGGTGGTGGTTCTTCCCTAGGTTACCTTTTCGGTGGTGGCGGCAACTGACGAGGGTCTCTGCTTGTGGCAGAGAGAATCTGTCGAAGAAAACTATTGCTACTTGCAGCTGTTGGGAAGACACGGTTTGCACCTCTGCTGTTGGCAAGGACTCATGATTGTGTAAGCTATAAATCAGTGTTGGAAACAGAATTCGTTGCTTTCTATTCTGCCCTTAAATTACTGGTCCTGGCACCATGTTCCATCTCCAAGTCTTGATTAGATGTTAAGGTATGTTACAGAAATCCCTTTATGTTTATGTTGAAATTATATTTGCATTCTTGCAGTCTTAGGTACTCTACACTAGATAAGATCGTATCAGTAGTAGTAAAGCTCAGTTGTCTCAATTGGAGGAATCCGTCAAGTCTCGTGTCTTTAAGCATTTCCAATCATTTGCGATAAGTCAAAATTTAATTTTCATTTATAGCTAGTTGATTTTCATTTATATTTCGGAATTTTGTGTTCCTCAATTAAATTATGTTTCTTAATAGAAAACTTTGAATTGAGATTATTACTATTTCAGGAATCCATATATTGAAATTAATAACAGAATCGTGTATATAAGAGCTAATTATATATTATATTTTATAATTAGTTATTTTCAGTATTTAGACCTTTATACTTTCAAAATTTACATAAGACTTTTATATTTAGGAAAGTGAAACATTTAATTTCATTTTTTCAACAAATTTTTTATTTTTTATTTTATAAAATTATCTTTTTAACCTTGTATAAGGATCTTAATATTTTATTTTTGTAAGTATATAGAGTCAAATGTAACTTTTGAATATGTAAGGATTGGGATGTTATGGCTAACTAATTATAGGGGTAATATATAATTAGTCACAGACACTTCTTAACTCTCAATCGCAATTTCTCCTTTCAAGCATGTATCTAACGTTTTGAGCTCCTGAATGTGTTGCGATTGAGAAGATATGGGTAGCTAATTATACGGGTAATATATAATTAATCATATACACTTCTTAACTCTCAATCTCAATTTCTCCTTTCAAGCATGTATTCATCGTTTCAAGCTCTTTTCATGAATATGTATATTAAAGCCATGGAGTTATTTTTTAAATATCTTCGGTTGGTCTTGGAGGGCCTAAAAGTATATTTATTTGATATAATAATCAGATTATTTGAGACATAAAAATATTACAATACCCTTGTCTATATATTTATTATCAACGATATTTGAATTTTTTTAAAGGATTTCTTCTTTTTAATATGATAATCTATAAAAAATATTACTATATCCACATTTTATCATCCCTTCGACGTGCTGTTTCGTTCCTATCATTATGAAAATAACATATTTTATATTTTAAGAGCCTCCGATCTGATTTGTCAATCAATTTGTTCGACAAATCATCGATATTATTCATTCGGTTTTAATAACTATACTTTGGATCCAATTTGTTTTGATTTTATTTCTGCAAAGATGTCTTGGCTTAAAAGTTTTGTTTCATAATGGCTCATGAACCGGACAAGGGGGGAACAAACCGGACCGTGAACCGGCCTGACCGGACCATAAGCTTTCCAACCTGTTCCACTTCATGAACCGATCAAACCCTAAACCTTGTCATGCAAAACCATCGCTCGGATGGCCGCGAAGACCGACGGTGGAAACCCTCCCATGCCATTGTTCTCAAACCCCGACGACATCTCCCGCAGTCGAAGCCTGACGCCGAGACTACCGTCGGAGTCCCCCTCATCACGTCCGTCTCCGAGTGGGATGATCTCGGAAACCGATGCGGCCATCGCCGAATTAGCCTCCCGTTTCGCCGAAAACCTCAGAGCAAGTTCAGACGTCCCAAATCCCTTAGTAAAGGCGGGTTCTTGGGGCCTCTTGACCTCGTCCTTGTGAACGGCTCCTAAAGAATCCGTCGGTTGCGTCGCTGCAGACCCATCTGGCGCCGAATTCGCGCGTGCGGGGAGAGAGAAGCTGGGATTTCTGATAGGTCCGGATGTTTCCAGTGGGATCGCCGTGTGCTGCGTTGTTCTCGAGGAATGGGAAGTTCTGGACGCCCTGCTTCCGCGAATCTGACGGAGAAGCTTGTGGAGATGAATCAAAATGAGTCGCTCTATCCCTTGGCCAAGCATGTCTCGGATCTCCGGTTCTCGGAACCTCTCTGTTCTTGGCATTTCTCGTCACCGACTAAGGATTCTTATCATAGATGGTTGCGGCGAGAAAGCAATGGGAAAGCCAAACTCTTTTAGCTATTAAGAAGTCTACCCGAGTGGGCCTGCCGAAGAAAGTGACAAAACTTGCTAGAGATGCTTCAATTCTTCCAATGATGGCTTACGAAGGTTTCAGATGTGTGCTTGCGTTATGTGTTTGGGTAATCGGATGCAGATGGACTTGTGTTATCTCCAACGATCTCGATACTAGATTGAGAGAAGATACTGAATCTGATTTGCTACTTCTTTAAAGTGGCTGATGCACCAGCAACGATTCCTGGAAGCATGCCCCTGTCCTTTAGCTGGATCAGTGCTGGGCTTGAGAGCCTCTGAGACTGTTTCTTCACTTGAATCCACCAATAAAGGATTGACCTTGGTGTTAGATGAACATTTCTCATACTTGGTCTTGGGTTCTGAGTTCCATGATGATATGAGAGCTGCTGACAATGTTGTTAGCTCTCTGGCACTGGGGAAGAACTTGTCTTGTCTTGTCCTTTAGAGGATACAGTCGAGCACCTGCTATTGGAAATTAGACAGAAACAAGGTTTTAAGTGTGAGCTTTTCTCCGAGGTAGTCAGAAGTGAGAGTTCAAAACTTTTCCTGGTACAAACCATGTTCGGGTTTGTTTCTTGGATTGAAAATGGAGGCAATTCTCATTTCTGATCCTTATTACACTTATCAAAATACTTCTATAAAATGAATTTTTGACGTGATAATTGTTCCTGTGAAGCGAGAAAGATGTACTTGGTGGATGTGAATGATTGGACCTGTTGCAGATTCAAGGTAGTATGGTATCTGGAGGTACTTCTCTTATAGCTTTGTTGACTTTGTATCGATCATGATGTCATCCAGTCTCATGTTTTTGATCTCATTTTATCTATTAGATAAATTTTTGCACCATGATGCCAATGCAGAAGGACTCAGTACATCACACGTTTTCATTTCTTGGCTTACATAGATATTATATCATTCATGACATTCTGATCCATAAGGACCAAACCATACATCATACAGTGAAAACACAGTGGTCAGATACATAGGATTATTGTAGATCATGGCTACAAACTCTTTAACATGAAGAAAACAAGGAAGAGTTTAGTCCTCCCATGTCTCAAAGTTGCCATTGACAAAGTTATAATGCGCTCCAATTAACTTCAATGATTTTTTCTCTACAGCTTCTTTCACAAAGGGGTAGGTCTTCAGGTTTTGCAGGGACACATTTACAGCCTCCTGCAAAAAGATATAAGGGAGATCAAGCTAAGCTTAGTAAAAAGATAAGACATAGATATGCCGCAGGTATTAACATGATTCAGATTGTTATCAAGTTTTAGTTAGATCTATCAGAAAAGGATTTGATGTGTTAGACCATAAAGGTTTAGCGTTTGATAGTGTAGATTAGATATAACATCTCAAACATGCAATGATGATTCTGGAAAACACTTGGATACTCAGTGAACGACCTACCTGAACTTCACCAAACTTTAGGAGGAAAAGTTCCATTGGTAGTGTGAGTTGAAGGAAGAAGAGAGGGGAGAAAGGAAGAATACCTTTTCACACTTGGTGCACTGCTCCTCAAAAGACAAGGCTGCATGCTCAGCCTTCACCTTGTCTCTTGCTGGTAGGCAAATCTTCACCCAATCCTCTATGAAGTCACTGGGTGGTCAAAATGAGACAAGAAGAATTGATCTGTTAGATGGGTGTTTAGAGAAGAGCAGTCCTTGAGACGCTCACATCAGAGTTAATGCATGCCGTGAGTGTTATGCCTCCAATATCAATGGTGTGATATAGAAAAGAATCCAAGTCCATGGATGTGATTCAGGGTGTGGAATATACTTACGTGCTGGTGGTGCCATCGTCCTTGATGGACATGAGTCCCTTGATGCCACCACAGCGGCTGTGGCCGATGACCATTATGTTCTGCACCTGCACGAGAGAAAAGATGGTGCTGCTTGGTCACACTGTTCTGACAGGTTCAAAGCTGTTGATGTTATCTTTCATGGTCTTCTTTGGTTTGATGCATGGGTTTTTGAGCACTGAATAACACCTATCTAAATCTCTGTGAGCTGAAACATTTTCTTGCTACTGATGTAGTTCTAAATTCTGCTCATCTGCACATGTAAACTGATCAACTATTTTTCAGTCAATGGAACTGTTTGTTCTAAAGGATCTCATCCAACCATCAACCTTTTGAAGTTTGGCCGCCACTGCTACCTTTTTCTTTTCTTCTAAAGTAGAAATGCTTCACAGTTCATGAAACATTTCATTTTTAATTTCAGGTTAATTCCTTTTCGTGTAAGGTGAGCGGGAATTCACAAGCTAACATTATTGGCAGAGGAGGCTGTATACAAAGAGATGCTGACCTTGAGATGGAGCACAGCATACTCGATGGCCGCTCCAACACCAGCATACTTTACCTGCAGGAAAGAAGAAAAGCATAAATGGGAGTTAGCAATGGCGGACTTGTATAGAAGCAGCCGCAGCAAGTGTTACACTTAACAGGAAAGGTTTAAGGATATGTATGTATGCATTACCTGGTCATAGGGAGGGACCATGTTGGCTATGTTGCGGATGGTGAAGGCTTCACCGGGCTGGAAGTTGAGCACCACGGACGGGCACACACGGGAGTCGGCGCATGCGAACACCATGAACTGCACCACCATCACCACCACCACTAATTTAAGCTTATCATTAACAGGAAAATTAAACCGAAACACGCCACACTGTCTTCTCTTTCTCAGTTGAGTATGCTGCAATCCTCCCTCTCTCTTGAATTGTTGTAATTACTGATGACTAGCATATATTTTATCAATCGAAAGACTGATCAAGTGAGCTCTTCATTTCAGGTCATTATGAGATTTGAGTTTGGTTAAGCTGACCTTGGGGCTTTGACCCTCTTTGAGTTCAGCAAACAAATCCGACTTCTTCCTGCAATGGAAACCACTTCAGCTGTGAAGATCCTAAAGAGGATGAACACATGAACAACGCATCGACTCATGGCTCAGGCGACTCACTCATAGACCTCCTTCTTGAACTGCACAAACCCGGACTGGACCCGCTCCAGTGGCTCCATTTCCTGCAAGTGTTGGACGAAATTACTGGCGATCTCCCCAGGGTTGGAATCCAAGTTTTAGGATAGGGGAGAGGGGAAGGTTTGTTCTTCTTTTGGTGTGGTGTTGGTGCCGCCACGCACCTTGCGTTCTTATAGATCTTGTGGCTTGTGATCAAAATTGGACTACTCATTGCATATGGTAGGCGGATGTGGTCTTATGGTGTTTGGTGTAGAAGAAGGTTTGGTCTTCGGCTCGACCTTCCTCGTTGACATATGTAGTTGATGTGGCTTATCCAAAGACATGAGAAAAACGCTTTTACATATCTATTATTGTAAGGCTTGTAGACAGCACACTTGCAATAAAATATTTAAATTACTTTTATAAAATTTATTCACTACAAAACCTTAAATGGCATAATCGTTAATTAGCAACCTTAATACAATCATTAAAAAATAATAATAAAATATAATTTTATTCAATACAATCTTTCAATTATTACTCATTCTAATAAGAATTCTTGAAATTAAGAGATAAGTTGAGATCATTTATATCTCTATTTGCAAAGAGGTATATTAGAAATATTAAAAATTAGCCAAAAAAAAAAGTAGAAATTACTTATAAAAATTATTAATTTGGGAGGGATATATGAAACATATTATCCCTATAATTAGTTATTTTAGTATTTTGATCCCTATATTTTTAAAAGATATATTAGATAAAGGTAAACATTGATAAAGATCTTAATGCAATTTTTAAAAATATATAAATCAAGATGCTTAAAAATAACACATTACAATAATATATAATTAGCCCGTGTTAAGTCAGTTTTAAGATTACAAGTCGATCATGTATGCATGAACGCGTGACACTTCCAGTAGGTGCGGTGTACTATATATATATCTATATCTATATATGGAGGATCTGCGTTCCCAACTGTGTTCGCCATGGACATGCAGGAGAACAAATGGAGGGGCCGGCTGCTTACCACGGCGGGCGCGACGGTGGTCGGGGCCGCGAAGATGGGAGAGTTCCTGATGAGGCGAGGGAAGGAAGGGGAGGGAGTGGAAGAGGAAGAAGAAGTGGGCTTCTTGTGGATGGCGGTAGTCGGCTTGTTGGCTCGGACAAGTGTAGCGACGCAGTGCACCGCGGCGGTCGTCGACATTGTGCAGCGAAGCGAGGTGTGGTAGGGTATTTATGCCGAGCAACCCGCCCGGACAAGGACGAGGAAGGAAGAGAGAGAGAGAGAGAGAGAGAGAGAGAGATGTGTGGGTTTCCTCCACCAGTCGATAGGGATGAGATAGGTTGACAGTCTGAACCAACAAAAAGAGTGGCCACAGGCACAGCCGGGGCAGCAGCCAGAACTCGGGAAAGCAGTGGCGGGGATAGGCATTTGGGATGTTTTGAGGGACGAATGGTGTACAACGCACCACATATAGAAACCTTAAGGAGAATCCATCTTTAATTCCCTCACCTGCTTACAGGTGGATCTTCAATTTTTGTGGGTACCGAACCTTCCACCAAAGATATTTCATCTTGTTTCTGCCGATAACTCTCCACATCTGTCTTCCTTTTCATGTGTGGTGCCTGTGTGTGCATTCTCTCTCTCTCTCTCTCTTCCTTTGTGGCCAGGCCAGCTCTAGAAAGTTCATTATCTGCAAGCAATCTTAAATCACATTATGATCGACGTGTTTGGAATAGCTTGATGATCGAATGCTTAATCTATCATCACAAACAGAAGATGAACATGATAGATGTTCTCGAGGAGTGGTATAGCCTCTTGCAGACTATGATCCCAAGCAAAACAGGAAGACCAAAATGCAAAGCCATTAATTAGGCTCTTTTAATTCTCCAAGAGTTGTCGGTGAAGGTTATGATCTGCAGTTGATGAAACCATGACCACATGCTTGTCATTCAGATCCATTAGGAGATAGTGACCTGATCAGGAGCCAGAATACAGTATTCTTAGGTTATACGATAGGTTCCTTTGGCTTGGGGTTTCAACTAAGGAAGGTAGATTCATGTATACTTTGCATGGACCTAAAATTTCCACAATTTTGCATCAAATAAGAGGAGAGAAAGAAAAGAATCAAGTTTCAGATCTAAGTTTTAGCTATCGGCAGATACTTTTTAAGTGTATTACAATGATAACAACTGACATGAGAAGAACATACCTCCGTGCAAATGCACGCATGGAGAGAATGAACACCATGGTGGACCTTCCACTTTGGCACACTGCACCTTGATGTGTCATCCTCAAGACGATTATATAGAGATCTGTACCTGCAACTGTGCTGCTGCATGATCTTCTACATCTCTTGTTCCTCGTACCTATGACTGGAAAAGATACATAGGTCTGTTCATCTGCTTACATGCATGCATGCACGAGGGAGATGGGCTCGACAAGAGGTGATGAGTGACGAACTCCGAGGACACGCATATGAAAATAAGCTGTGGGAGTGAGATGCACGGTCGAACACCTGAAGCAGGCAAGCACAGAGAGAGAGAGAGAGAGAGAGAGAGAGAGAGAGAGAGATCATCCAACCCTTGGCTAAATGAGAAGGGTGAGACCGAAGCGTCGAAACAGTGTGCTCATCGTAACGACATCTTTGCGTTATAGTTGGCAGTAGCATGAGGTGGACTGTGCTTGTCATCGTTGACACCAAGTAGAGGTTCTTAGATGCTATTCCAATTGGTTTATATGATAGCTATTCTCTCATGTTTACCATCATTAACTCTTAGAATTGTGTTTATCTCTCGAGTCTCATGTTCGAGTCCACATGTCAGCATCATGAATTATATTTGATATAATAATTTTTAATTTAGAATTATATTTTTTAAGAAAACTCTTAGAATTGCTTAGTAGTGGCTAAAATCCTAGTAATGTCTCATAGAGGAATAGAAAAAATATTTCATCGATAGTATTCATAATAATATGATCTTGATTACTTCAACTATTATAAATATTTTATCAATAATTATTAATGTCAGAAATATTATCAATAAATACTTCGACTAAATATCCCATGGGTGTCATCGAAAACTAAATGTCCCTATGTATGATTAAGCTAATTATCCTTTGACGTCTTAAGCTTGAATAATTTTGATAAAACTTCTCTGATACTTAAGTTAATAAAAAAAGTCTAATTCAAAAAATATTATATATGAGTGCATAAACCCTTCATTTATAAGTCATTTAGGTGGCACCAAATGACTAATCGGATGATATATATATTTGTTGTCCCTACTATCATGATTGTATAAATCACCCAATGGTCATATATCAAAAGGAATAATAATATTTTTACTCATAATCTTATAAATTTTGATATATATATATATATATATATATATATATATATATATATATATAAAAGATATTATAACATAATATAAAAAATACTATATCATAGTATTTTTATTTTTAATAATACTAGAAAACACTATAATGTAGCATAAAAACACTATACCATAATGTTTTTTTTTACTATGTTATAATAATTTTCTAATATTACTGAAAATAATACAATATAATGTAAAATTATTATAATTAAAAGAGAAAGAGAGAGAAAAGAAAAGGAGTAGATCAACAGAGGTATTTCAGGTATTAAAAAAATACAAACAAAAAAAACAAAAGAAAAATATAAATTTATATGGTGAATTGGGCGATTAATTTTCAATAAGATACTAAGTAGTTTCAAGAAATTAAAGCTGGATTCCATCGAACGTGGTTTTCTATGCCAGTGTGTAACATGGCTTAATTGGTTCTATACGATCATACATGAATATACAACAAACGACGATTTATATGGTGCTAAAAGTACTCGATGCTGCTTCTTTAAGGTGCCAAATGTGTGTATGTACAACCACCGATCGAACGGCTGGCTGGAAGATAACATGTGGTCACCATAGGAGCCGAAGTATTTACTTGGGAGCAAGCCTGATAGGGCAGATGGAGAATGCAATCCGGCGTGCTGCAAAGGCCAACATGAAGCGTTCATCTTCTGTTAATGGTCTCTCGATTACCTTCACAACCGTAGGATCCTGCAATTGTCATCACGGACCATGAATAAAACTGAAGAGATGGAGAACAATATCTACCGATTCATCCCATTCTTATCTGACAAAATTCCAATATCAGGGAATAATAATATTCTTCGTACAGAAGGAAACATATGATACATCAATGCATTGAAGTAGTCTAGTCAATGGATCATGGAAGGCTATAATTCAGGAGATCAAGATGATTGCAGAATTCAGTGACGAGCATACAAGAGTTGACCAAAAATGATGCCCTATTTCATATGAAAAAGATCAAAATACTTGAGACTTTGCAGAGGAAGGTCATGGGACCGAGTGGCCTTGTTTCTATTCTCGAACCATGGTCACCGACGTCATATAGAAGCAGTCCTACCATTTTATCCGGTCTTAACTTACAGACCTTGAATCAAGAAACTTATCATGTGGCTTTACTATCTACAAGGAAAGAATAAGATTGAACCATAGGCTAAAGTATTTGTGAAAAAGATATGTTGGCACCATAAGAAGCACCAACCAAATTAATCAACAGCCACTGCTAAAGAATTCTCCCTAGCAATTTAATCGATAGGTAACATCAAGATGGGAAAACAGAGTTACTTGCTCACCAGAACTTCCATGCTAAAGGTTGATATACTAGAAATAGTTTAGCATGGCAAGGAACCGCCTTGACACTTGCATGACCCTCGTCATAATTAATTTTCATGCGGTACGTGTTGTCGGCAAGTGCCTTGACAATGCAATCCCAACAATGGATGATTTATACTGAGTGATAAGATGTGGACACTGAAGAGGGTTATTTCTGGTGGCTTCTTCAGAAGAGGTTGGACATGATGTATTGGATTCGAGGTCAGCATTGGTCATGTGTGAGATCCAGGAGCAGGAACACAATAAAGGGGCTTCTTGGTGCCTAGGTTTTCATCGGCAGTAGACATGCTGACTGCCAATCATGGCATGGATATCCATGATGTATATTAACAAAGTTGAACAAAGGTTGAAAATGTTGAGAAAGGAACTTCATGGGAAACTGTGGCAGAAGAACATGCAAGGAAGGTCACGAGGAAAACATAGAATTGCAAAGAACTAGATGGTAACAGATATTCAAAGGATATGCACTTTCAAAAGCGAGAGCAGTTCTCCAAGTTTTATGTACATACTAATATCAACTCAGCATGATTGGTAAATGCATGAACAAAAGCCTGGTGATGCATACCTTTATTTGTAGGTGAGAAGGAGAAGGTCTAATCCTAGCGATATCACCAACCCCGATAACGTTGTTAACATTCCCGCATTCGTCTGACTCAGCAGGCAACGCTGGCGAGTGCCTCCATTGCCCATTAATGATGAACTTATAATTATATCTGAAAATCAAAACATAAGTAAAAACTCAAATATATCATGAGAACAAACAAATTGATAAAACTAACTAGGTATCAGAACAAAAACTAACTTTGGCGACCAGTAAACAGATTTTCTCAATATATCAGTAATAAGGTCGAGAATTATAAGCAAATTATCATGTTCTATGATGATATCAGCTTCCAGTTACATAATTTTGTTAGGTGTTAGTATGTAAATAGGTTATAGTCTGTGCATGTGCTAGCAATTAGATAATGGTGCTTACACTTATCCAAACATCCTACAAAATTGAACATAAATTCTCCATGAAAATTTACTTTAGTATACAAAAAGCTTTTTCCGCTTTTAGAGCAATGCTGGAAAAATTGTCACCGTGGCGATCTTCTAAGCATCATTCATCATGGCTATCAAATTATGTAACATGATGATTATATGTTTCAGAAAGTACATGTTTGCCATTTCTGAAGTATATAAATAGCTGATTATATTTAAGGGCATGGTTCCATGTATTATTTTTCAGAAGGCATACATGTTTGCCCTTTCTTGACATGATTTTGACCTTATTATTTCGCAGATCACAAAGCCTATATTGATACTAGAATCAAAATTTACGTCCCCTCTTTTCACATGAGAAGAGAAATTCTCTGTTTAAAGGTTGGAAACTAAGCACCATAAGCTAAATTTTGACAAGTGGAATCAACTTCCAGAGGATGCATATGCAATGACTACATTTTGCAAATCAGCTATAGTGTTTATGAAATCACTTATGGTGAAGACATAGGTATGTAGTAAACAAGAACATTAACTTCTTGCTAAGAATTATGCGAATGTAAAAAGGACAAC